TAAAAATTATAATTATTAATCCTTTTTATAAAATTTAGAAACTATAAAATAATTTTTGAAATTAATGTTAACAATTTAAACTACATCTTAAAAATATAATTTATCTTATAAATTTATTAAAATATTTTTAATAAAATTATATTTTTATATAATTTTATTAAAATATTTTAGTACATCCATACCGTGAATTCACGCTTTATTGTGGTCTCCGTCTTATAAAACACTTTTTCCTAATATTGTAGGATTTCGGTGGAACTATCAATTTTGTGGCTGTCATAGCCATGCCACCCTACTAACTCGCCGCGATGAAAGATGAGAGCCAAAAAATAATAATAATAATAAAATAAAATAAAATAAAATAATTGCAAAGAAGATGTGTCTTGAGTGAAAACAGCCAGCTACTATTGTGATGGTAGTCCGAGGTCATTTACCTCCGGTCAGCTAAGTTGTTACGAACGTACAACCTTGGGACTTCCTAAAGCTAAGTTTGATAAGCTCAATCGAGGTCGAGTTTGTTCCCTTCGAACTTGCTCTATAATAGTTCCATACATAGTCAAATTTTTTATGAGAGATTTCAGCTATGATTGATACATATCAGCTAGTTTTTCATAAAGATGAACGTGTGAACACCCATAAATACCCTTAAGGTTCCTCCCTAAAAATAATTGTAACTGACCTCAACCTTAACTCTTGTTTTTTTAGCCGGCTTGATTATTACTTATTTAGACATTGGAGTATCTAGCCTGGAGACCAACCTCAGAATTTTGCAGCAATGTTGTTAATATCATGTCGTATTGGTCGGTATATATCGATTTTTACATTAAATCAAAACAGTATATGATTCAATTTTGTTTAGGTCAAATTTCATTTCTTTTGATCAAATTTTAATATATCGGTCAGTATTTTGACATATCGACTAGTACATAAAAATCGATCGGTAGAACTCAATTCAAATTTTAAAATGACAAATTTTATTTTTTGTACTCAACTTTAATATTTTATATAATTTTTATCTTTTAATTTTTTTATATATTTTTTTAGTTCATCAACTATGAAAAATGTATTTTTTTTAGTTCTTCTATCAATTGCTAGTTAAATTTGTTTAAATATACATATTTTAGTCCCCTAATTTAAAGTGAATGAATAAAAAATATGCATATATTATAAGTCTAGAGATTAAAAATGATCATTTTAAACTTATTTTAAATTTATAAGAATTAAGAATATAATAATTTTAAATATTAAAATCTCTTACCTTATTTTAAAATTTAATATTTATCTTATAAAAATATTATATCGATAAATTTAAAATAATAAACGGAAAATTTTGATATTAGATACGTATGGTTACAATAACAAAACCAATAGATACACTGTATTGACAACTTTACTTTCAGGTTAGCTGAAGTGAAGATCTACGCTGGAGAAGGCTTTGGAGTTCTTTGCAATTACAACTACGTCTCTGGCAAAGCCGATCACGTCTGCGATCATGAGAAGGTGTGGCTCTGCTTAAGGCGGGGCTCCACCAAAGGAGTTCACTATTCTTGGGAGGGAGAGTGAGTAGAGCTGGATAAGAATTTCGGTTATCGGAAGAATCTACGAGCTAAGTAGAATTTTTGGGTAGGAGGTAGGGAGATGGCATTTTGGACATACTTTTTGGGCTAAGGGAAAGATATGAGACTTCAACAGAAAGTCTATCTATGGCTGTCAAAATCATTTCCAAACCCATGCTATGCAGTTTTTGACTTTTTGGTATACATTTTTATTGCAATTATTTTTTGTTATAACTTACCATCTTCTATAATTTTCAGGAATACAATCCCAATCCTACATTTTGAAAGTAGTCTAATAGATTAACACGAACCATTTCACTGAAGTATTGATTAACTCAAGGTTTTGAACGTCAATTTGCAAATTCATTTCTAAGTTACTCTAACTTCAATTTATTTGTTATGAGGGAAGAAGAAAGTAAATGGTTTAGTATCACATGGATCACTGCATACTGGATTGTTCTCGCCAAAATTATGGGTTGTAGTGTTTTGGTGTGAGTTTTGCATCATTGCATGAGCTGAAGCAACATTTTAAGTTAAGACTCGAACTTTATAGAAGAGGTGAAATGGTCATTGAAGATTTGAACCGAGTAGCTGAATGTCTAGCTATAGGTGGCAAGTGTGTGGGTTTTTGGAGCTGAGTAAGTTCGAACCATGGTGATATTAATTTTATCTTCTTTCTCAATGATACACTATTCTTCATCTGGAAAACATTTTATCTTCTTTCTCAATGACATGGATCACAGCATATTGGATTGTTCTAGCCAAAATTCTGGTTTGTAGTGTTTTGGTGTGAATTTTGCATCATGGCATGAGCCTTGTTTTTATTTATTTATTTTTATTTTTTATTATTATTTTTTTTTCTTTTAATCGTCAAAATTTTGCATCATTGCATGAGCTGAAGCAACATTTTGATTCAAAGACTTGAATATTATAGCAGAGGTGAAATGGTCGTTGAAGATTTGAACTAGCTATAGTTGGTCAGTATGTGGGTTTTTGCGCTGAGTAAGTTCAAACCATTTTTAAGAGAAATTTAGGTACATCATAAAAGTTCTTTTAATGGAATTGCTTCTTTAGCCCTCTTTTCACTGTCACAACATTTAAGCAAAGAAAGGACCAATTGTCTGCTGTAAGGAAGTTTATGATTGATATGATGATATCAGATTTTTTTGTTGAAACCGGAGACAACCACATATCACTAGTTTGAAGCTGAGACCTTGCTCATTCGTACTATATTTCACATTGCATTCACTCTTTTACTTTACTACTATTTCTCTTCCATTTTTGTTGTCCATTTACATCTTACAGGTGCAATTAAACTGAATGGGGGATACTTGGCAGATGACAGTGGCAGTAGGAGCTGATGATGTTTGGCATGAGGTCAAAATTTTGAAATACTTATCCAGCCATAAACATATAATTAAATTTCATGATTCATTTGAAGATCACCTTGTATACATTGTAATGGAGTGTGTATTCTGTTCTACTTTTATTTTTAAGTTATTTAATTATAATGTTAATCAACAATGTCTTGTCATCCTTTTATTTTATCCTATTAATTTCTGGATTGATTATCCATTGTTGATTTCCTTTTACAGTATAAGAACTGACAGAAATTGTTCTTCATAAAGTAGAAATTTAAACATCAAATATAGCACTTAAGCTGGTTTTTAATCATTTTCTCTAGGACCTAGGGATGCTTTCTGTTGCATCATTGGGATAATACCTTCCTCAAAAGTAATCAAAATATTCTTGTATTGCCAGATTGTGTAAAGGTGGGGAATTATTGGAGAGAATTCTATCAAGGTACAGATTAATGTTCCTCTTCTATCTTGTTGTTGCCTTTTCTGAAATACTATTAGTTTCAGTTTCCAAATTGTATTTCCTGTTACTCCATTGTTGCAGAGGTGGTAGATGCACTGAAGAAGATGCTAGAACTATAGTTGTACAAATTTAAGTGTAGCTGCTTTTTCTCGTGTTCAAGGTGTTGTGCACTGTGATCTAGAGACAGAGGAAACTCATCATGGATGACAATATTCTTTTCTCATTTACTTTTTTGTTGCATCTATTGCTTATATCTGGTAGAATGACTTTGTGTCATGCCCCAAATTTCAGTTATTCAATGTGACTACTCGGCAGAATTTTCCTTTTACCACTAAACAGGATGCTGCTTCAGTAAAGATTATTGATTTTGGTTTACTGGATTATGTAAGGCCAGATAGTTTTGAAAATGCATTCACTGTTTTCTTTCAATTACGATTTGTTTGTCTATAATGGCAAATGTTGTAATGATGTACAAATCAATCAGCATCCTCTGTGTTTGTCTTGTTCTGGATAAAAATGTTCTTCAAAGGTTCAACAAACCATTCTGATTTATCCTCTTTTGTGTTTCCTTTCTTGCTGGAAAATTTCAATAGTTAGATATTTCACTTTACAAGGGCAAAAATAAATAATTAAATGAAGATATTCACTTTAAATATCTAGTTTGATTGGAAAAATAAATGGAGAAGTAGGAAATTGAGTTGCAGGAGGCAGCCAATATGTCCCAATTGAATCAAGGGCCTATCAGATTATTCTTGGGGAAATTTACCAAGTGCTATAGTCATAACATCAACCTTTGCACTTGTTTTGGTTATGGTATTTTCATGGGATTTGAAGTTTCTATTATCTATGTATGATTTGATTTCTCGTGTACTGTCCCTTACAATATATATCTCTAATTTTTTTGACTGATCAAAATGGGGTCCAGGGGAAACCAGCCCTGGCAATTCTTCTCCCTCATGATTGCATGAGCCTTACCTGCTAGGAAACGATTCTAGGGAGCCTGTACAGGAAACTTGCACAGGGATCTGCCTCCATTTGTTATGAGCTTTTGCAGGATATTGAAAATAATTGATTGATCTAATTCTCATGCCTTTGAGATTAAGGTAAACGTTATTAAGTGCCAGGTAATGTCATTCTGTTGGAAATACAAACCTTTCCAAGTATGTGATGGCAAATTGGCAAAAGTGTAGACCTGGAATCATTTTTATTTAGCCAATTTTCATGGAAAAAGCTTTCTCAACATTTAGCAATTTCAGTCACTTGAATTCAGCTGCAGAATAATTTGGTTTAATCTTAGTCAATTAATGATTTGAGATCATTTTCTTGCTACTGTTTGTGCAACGTGTTTCTATAATAGAGTCATTCTGGCTGTTGAATGCATTCTTATTCCCATGTGCTTTGATGTCATAAAATTATCTGAACTATGAAGTCAAGTTGTTTGTGCTAAGTAGCTAATCAACTACTATTAGGATGATTACAGAACATACAGTTGTATTTGTGCAGATCAACGTCTCAATGACATTGTTGGTAGTGCATACCATGTCGCACCTGAAGTTCTCCATAGATCTTACAGTCTCGAAGCTGACATGTGGAGTATTGTGGTTGTAATCAATTTATTGTTGTGTGGAACCAAATCAGGAAATCTTCGTTCTGTGCTCAGTGCTAATCCAAACTTTGATTGTTCATCCGAAGCTAAAGATTTTGTGAAAAGGCCTCTGAACAAGGACCACAGGAAAAGAATGACCGCTGCTCAAGTTTTAGGTAAGTGCCACTTTGAAATGTCCATTGAATATCAAATCATAACTGGAATACTGACCGTCTTCTAGAAATTTTACATGGTCTCACCTTCTCCCTATTTTCTATCTTAGATTTATAATATTCATAACTCTGTTTAAGGTTATTGACTGTGGCATTTTATAATTATGGGAAGTAATAAATATCTAATTTATTTACAGATCACCCATTGTTGCAGCCTGCAAACTGACAACTGTGATGTGCCAAGAACAAGGCTTATCCTAGACTTGTTTGGCATAGGGCTCGGTCAAAGCTTGACAGGGCTTAGTCCACTAAAGAACTGTAGTTGATTAAGTCTGCATTTTTTACGAGAGAGAGAGAGAGAGAGTTTTGTTATCCATTTAGTCGTATTTGGCTTGAATTTGGGTTAGTTGATGGTTAAATAAGTTTCTGGATACCGAGTGGTCCATACAAAAAAAAAAAAATTAAATCTGCATTTTTTTCTTAATTTTTTTAAAATAAAGATTATAAATGACAAGGCTTAGTTCACTTGCAACTTAAGCTTTACTTGGAAAAAAAATGTTAGTTAAGACTAGGTTGAGACTGGCACCGACTCAACAATGCATACGGTCTGGAGTAGTTGTGCATTTGGACCTGGAAAAAGTGGGGCCATCAATTCCAGCCGAAGACCTCCACTAATGGCCACCTCTGAGGTATAACTCACTTGATTTTTATTTTTGTATCAAAATTTTAATGAAGTTAACTTGATACCCAATGATCATCATGTTGGGATCTTGACATAGCAATTTGAAGTTAGCAAAAATTAGTTTTGTTTAATCTAATAAATAAAAGTGTTTGAATTAATAATAATTATTATTATTAAATATTAAATTAGATAAAATTATAAATTGTTAATTTTAAATTGATATATTGAATAGAAAAACTAGAATTTATTTATTTTGTTTCAAAATAATTATCATTTTTTTACTTTGAATTTATTTCAAATTATTTTTAAATTTTTAATTTTTTAATTTAAACAAATATTTTTCTTACTTTAACTATATTTTTGTCTATTTAATTTAATTAATTATTTTATCACAAAAATCTATCTTTATCTTTTACAATATCTCTTTTTTACAGTAACAAATAAATGCATAAATTGTCTTTAAATTTTTAATTTAAAAAAAAATTATTTTGAGATGAAAAAATACTAAAACATTCTTTGAGTTAAAGTCTTACTAGGAGTACTTGTTTACCTAATTAGACGAAATCAAACCTAACAGACAATGTGAAATGAAGTTGTGACATAGAAATAGACAGAGTAACCTGTTGCTTTGGATTGGATGAACTAAAACCAATAGGAATGGAATTGGGCAGGATCATGTTGAAAGTCAACTCTAATTTCTTACCAAAGTCTTGTTAGCAGGATAGTAATTGTTATATCTTTTGATTTAATATATTTATTAAAAATTTATTATTTTTAAATTTAAAATGAAAGTGAAAAAACTTAAAATTATAGATTTTAATAATTAAATTAATAAATATTGATAAATATATTAAACTGAATGATGTATTAATTATTTTTTTTTATTAATACTATTTTACAATTAGAGAAAATTATCCTGACCGACGACATGGTGACTCGAAGTATGACAGAAAATCAGTACATGCCTATTGAAAAATGGGTTTTATCCATCTAACATGATTGAAAAAAGTTTAAGATTGTCTCTTCATAGCAACCAAACATTTCATAGCTCCTACATGCATTCTCTCACAAACAAGAAATTGATAAGAATTACAAAAACAAAAGCAAATGGATCGAAAGTCAGATGATAGAGCCAATGAACAAAAACCAACTCCCATTCAACCTCACTTTCATCAGCCATTAGTCTCGGAAAGAATGACTCAATTTGGATATGATAGGGATATGATAGGAAGTAATTCATCTATCTTAAATTATCTTTTATTATAATTAATTTTTATATAATTTTAAGTAATGTTTTCTAAAAATGTATAAAATAACAATTAAGATTATTTTATTTGTTTGAATATAGTTCTTTTTTATAGTTTCATTTGATTAAAAAATATATTTTTTTTATTACTATTAATATGCTATATAAAAGTATTATTTAAAGTTATATATAAGTTAGTTATAATAATGAATAATTTGAGATAAAAAAAAGTATTTGATTGGATTAAAAAAGTAAAAATCAAAACATCTTAATATTAAAAATATCAAAATATTTAATTTTAATCACAATTTAAATAGAATTTATATTATATCTTACAAATTATGCAATTTTATTAAATATCATGTTTTTCGCTTTTTTTTTTTTTTTTTTTTTGGTTGGAGGAGATTGACTAAAAAGTGTCAATTTGATTGACAGAAAAGTTTTCTGCAGTGAATTTTACACAAAATGTAGAAGATGAGTTGTATAATCAAATGGGTCCAGCGGGACTAGGCAGTGGTCCCATTGATTGTGGAGTTGTGGTGTTTACAACCTATTCTGGGTGGACTACAAAATATCGTTGCAAAAAAATTATTCTATTAGATTAAAGGGTATGTGGATTTTCAGGTTGTTCTACATAAAAAAGATGCAGAAATACGCACAAAAAGAGTTAAATGTCATTAATAAATTAAGACATATAAGTAATTTATTAAAAATATTTAAATAATTTAATCAATATGTTTGTTGATGACATTCAATTTTTTTCAATTTTTTATATGAGCCATTTCAATTTTTTTCTTACATGTCATCCTAAAAAGTGAAAATCATTTTATATAAGTTGGGTAAATCTTTTAAAGGTAATATTAGTGGGATAATTTTTTTTATTTTATCTTTTTATATAACTATCACATATCATTAAATGAGTGAATATATTAAATATCATAAGTCTCATATAAATTAAAAAAATTAATTATTTTAATGACACATCAAATTATATAAAAATAAAAAATAAAAATATTATATAAATATCATTTTTCATATTTTAAAATAGCTATTTTAATATGGGAAGAAAAGAAGAATGGTGTGTTTGATAGAACTTTTAAGCCAACTTTTTTAGTCTTACGTATTTGAAAAGTTATTAGAAGAAAAATTTGAATTCGAACTTTTAAGTAACAATAAATTTTTAAAAAGTTTTGGTCACTAGCTTATCTAAGATTCTAATGGGTTTTTTTTAGTTTAGATTGTGAAAGAAATTAATTGCCATTCAAGTATCAAAATATCTTTAATAAAATCATTAAGAATTTTTAATACTTTTATAGCCTAAACTGCATGCAACCAAGATTGAAATGACATTGCTGTTATCTAAATGTTAACCAAACATGAGTATATATGTTAAAAAGAAAGTCATATACAATCTCCGCAGACCGAACGGCTAAACTACTTTTCTCATTTGTTGGCAGTGTTCTCATGATAGGCTTTTCATGCCACTTTCCTGTAAAAATTTCAAGCATCTTTTCTTCCAAAAATAAAAAAGGAATTTTCTTAATTTTGCATAAATTTTTATATAAAATTCAATTAAAATAAGATATAAAATGTGAAATAAAAATATAATATAATATTTATACTTAAAATTAAAAAAATATAAATATAATATAAAAATTTATATAAAATGAATTATAAATATCTTAATTAATAAAATTGAATTGATACTCTTAATGCACATAATAAACAAACTCAATAAAAAATAAGCCCTTAGATTTTATCAAGGAAGTCAATATCGTACCAGTATGCGTATCGATTTTATTATTGGAATAGTACATACCGAATATCGAAATTTTTCATGTACCATTTCGGATTTATCGTTATAAATATATATTTTTATAAATTAAATATCAAATTTTAAAATAAAATAAAAGGTACTAATATTTAAAACTATTATATTTCTATAAATTAAAAATAAGTTTAAAATGATTATTTTTAATTCCTCAACTTCTAATATATGCATATTTTTCGTCCATCCATTTTAAATTAAGGGATTAAAAAAGTGTGTATTTAGATAAACTTAACAGAGTAATTGATAGAAGAACTAAAAAAAATATGAAGAATATATTAAAAAAGTACATAAAAAAGTTAAAAAATGAAAATTATGTAAAAAACTAAAGTTGAGGACTAAAAATGAAATTTATTCTGTTTAAATTTAAAATTTTGAATTGAATTATACCTGTAATTGTACCAAAAATGAAAAAATGTGCAGGACGACTGGATACGAGAACAGAGGAGAGATTAAGCTGCCCCTAGCCAAAACGACGTCATTTTGGCTAGGGAATCTGTTTTTTGTTTTTTTTTTTTTTTAATTCTTGCAAAATGTATTGATTAAATTTTGGTGTATTGACCGGTACACAAAATTTTGGTCAGTACGTCAAAATTTGATCAAAATTATCAAATTTTGACCGAAACAAAATTTTAACTTATTTTATTTTGATTTATCCTAAAAACCAATATGTACTAACTATATCAATCGATACGAAACAATACAAACTTTCTTAGATTTTAATCTACTATAATTTCCTGGCAATGGAAACGAAAGGAGAGAAAAGTCAAAGAAAAGCTCCACAACGTTAGGTGGAATCACTTAAAAACGCACCAAATGATTGAATTTTGAAGGGAAGGAGAGGAGACATAGCCCCACCCTACCACGTTACGCTTGAGAAGAAAATCCGTGTTTCCATTAGAAGAGTCTTCTTGACCCCTCAAAAATCAAAGATTTCTTTTTCATTAAATATTTTCTGTGCTTTCTTTAATAGATAAGAGGCACCGTGTTTCTTCTTACTAGAAATGTTTTTCCCAAAGTCAAATTCTCTTTTATAATTAAATAATGTTAATTTTCATGTGGACAAAGCAACCCAATGTGAAGGCCGAAAGGGCATTACTTAGCTAGCTGTTCCATGCGTGATTTCCAAGTTCTTTGGAGGGGTATCAAAAGCTGGCCTATCTTCAACTAAACACGCAATCCATGGCCTCAACTGCTTTACAACTGCTTTACACAGGGAAGACGAAAGGCTCCTTTGACACCATCCATCCTTTACAAAACAACATAAGGCACTTAAACTCATCCGAATTGGATTAGGTGGTAAGATATAATATAAATCATGTTAAAACTTTTTAATGTTATTTGGGTTTAAATAATTTTAATGAGTTACATTTATTTTATTTAAAAATAAAACTTTATTTAGTGCCTATAGGCTAGATGACTAGTGGGCACAAATTCATATGATAAGAATAATAATGCATGAGTTATTGACATGTAGTATTGACAAAGTAAAGTTGGAGATCATTTCATTAAAAAAAAAAAAAAAGAGTTCATTCCAAGATTTATTTTGGTAGATTTTTTTTTTTTTTTTTTTGAAAAGAAAAACGATAGGAAAGTTGAAGATGAACATAAAATTTATTTGTTGATCAAAATTGTGTGATGGAGAAAAACGAATTGTCCAACAATTTGTACATATCATTGTGGTAAGCATTTTTTTTTATTAACTTTTTGGTATCTTGTAACTACATTGAGTTTCAACAAATTCGGAATTGAGTCTCATTGAACCCCATCAAGAGAGAAACTCTCCCAGCTCTTATTTCTCTATTCACAAGACTTGAACTCGAAACTACAAACTTTATTTAAGAGGAATTGAATTTCTTTCACTCGGACCAATAGGTTGTTAGCTATTTGTGATAAGCATTTAAAGGCAATGTGCCGAGCATGATATAGTGTATGAGAAATGTTGCAATTGTCGGTGAAGCAATGTGATGCTTTTGTGCTTTAATTTTCCAACTCAATCACAACATCAAACGGATCAATTATCGCATGGAATGTCACATGTCCACAGTCATTATAAAGGGAACAAAAGGAATGGACAGAAACTAAGAGCATGGAAAAAGCCAAAATGCTTAGATATTTTAAAGCTAGCTAGTTAAGCAAAACAAAATTTCTTGTGAAACTTGAAGCTCGATCTAATTTATAAGTATTAAATTTGAATCTTAAGTAAAGAAAAATGATTATTTTTATTATATAATTCATTCCTAAATGTCTTAAAAACAAATATTTATCACAAAATGAACAAATTAAGAGCCATGAACAACAAAAAAATCTTAGCCAAAACCCAAAAGTCGTTTAAGGTTGGAGGTTTATGTAATAAGCACTTTATTTTGAAATTAATTTATCTAGTACACGACATAAAAAGAAATATTAGCTTCTCTAAAAGTCCCAAAATTCCCAAATTGAAGTCTACTTAAGTGTCTAAGATTTTTGGAAAAGCATGCTCGTGGTTAGGGGTGGGCAAAAATCGGTTTCCGTGGAAATCAAAACCAATTTTAAAATAACCAATTTTTTTTTTTTTTTGAATTTTAAGAACCAAAATTGAACCAAAGTTTTCTCAAACCGATTAGTTTGATTATTAATAAAATTGGTTAGGTTTCGATTTTTACTAAATAAATATTAATCAATTTTTTTTAATAAAAAATCATAATTTATCTCATATTTTTTCATATTTTTTCATATTTATTTAATTTTTAATTTTTAAGAGACTCATTTTTAATTTTTAATCTATAAAAAATTCAATCAAAACTAAATAAAAAATTATTCAATTAATATCAAATTAAAATAGTAAAACTCAAAATCTATTAAAACCAAACCAAATTCATTTTTTTATTCGATTTCTGAGTAACCATTCGGTCACCCACCCACATACGCACCCCCACTCATGGTAATCAATCGAAAGTTCAAAACGATAAAAGAGGCAAAAGGATATATATATAGAATGAGAACAAGAGTGGAGCCCATGGCCACAAAAACCAAATCATAGTTCCATACACCACATCCACCTAATCATGATGATAAGCATATGCCATCCAACTAAAAGACATCCCAATTCAATCAGTGTCCATGATCAATTTAGGAAAATTTAATCAAAGATATATGGTTGGAGGAAGCAGATTCGACCTTATCTTTACCTAATGAGTACCTGGAAAAAGTTATGTGGACAACATTTACTATATAATATTGTACATAATATTGAGAGAACAATTAAAATTATACAGATAATTGATTTTTTTATTTAAAATATATTCATAATATTATATAAATATATTTATTTAATATTATGTCATTTCACAATATAACAAGACATATAGTGCGTGTAGCATTGTGGATGGGTCATCATACAAGGAAGGAATCAAATTCCAATGGACATGAATCAAAACCTCTGCTCTACCCCCATGTCCCAACTTGCTTCTTGTTCACATTAATATTAACCAAAAAAAAAAAAAAAAAGGTTGGGAAAAGAAGAGAAACAACAAACAATTGCTATAAATTTGAGAGAAGCCATTTCTTTTTTCTTTTTCTTTTTTCCTTTCACTCATTTTTTTCGTCGCCATCATCTACAAAGAGACATAATTACTACAATTGGAAAAAAGAAAAAAAAAAGCAGAAAGAAATGGGAAAAGAAACAGATTTTCATGAATGGATCAAATTGATCAAACCCTAAAGCATAAGACATGGTGGTGGTGGTGGTGGTGCTCCTTATCGATCAAGCCCTGAACATTCCGGAACTCCTCGACGTGGCAAGGGATGGTGATGGGTCCTTGCTGATCGAAACCATATTCCTTCTCTGCCTCCTTGAGTAGCTGCGAGAACAGGGGATGGTTTATGTAGATCACCGGAATCACAAACCTCTGCTGTTCCTCCCCTTCATGCCCCACCATGATCGCCAGACACCCCTTCGGAATATCCTTCAAATCTTTCTTCCCATGATGATGATGATGATGAAAATGAAGATGCGGTATGTGCAGATGAAAACTGATGTGGTGTTTCTCTCCACTCCCCATTTTAATTTCAAACACACCCAGAAGAAAAAAGGAGATCAAGAGAAAAATAAATACAATAGCTTAATCAAGTTGATAACAACTAGTTATAAGAAAACAAGAGAAAAAGGCCAAGGATCAGAAGAAGAAATGGCGAGTTTGAAAAGGGTAAGAGACGAATCTGTGAGGGATCTTGGGATGTTGCTCATGATAAAGGATTATCAGAGGCAATCTGCATATGAACAAAGGTGAAAAGTGGGAGAATTGTGGAGGATTGGAGATGGGTATTTATAGGGATTATGGGAGGAGCTGAGGGAGGTACAGGTTTTTGCTTGGTTTGTACACAAAAGAGTTAGTTTTGTAGATGGAGAAGTAACAGCTGAAATGGTGATATCTTGTGAGGGTTATTTCTGCTTCCGTCCAAGGCAACCTGCCAAAGTGTTGATTTACAGCTGGGGACGTGGATGGTCTATTTCCAGGCTGATCTAGCTATTTCCAAGGAAGCTCGGTTCATATTTACGGCATAAGATTCTTACATATTTATTTGAATGAAGGTGTGACGCCAGTCTTATCGTCATATTTTTATATTTAATACGTAATTAAATTGGCCTTGAATACATGGTTAAGGGTGTGTTTGGTTGTAAAGGGGAGTTGTCTTACCTTTCTCTTTAGAGGGATGGTTATTTATATATTTTTATACATTAATATTATAATAAAAAATGGACAAAAATGATATTTTTAGTTTTTATTTTCTTTATAAACATTTTTTCTCACATATTTTTTCTGAAGCAAAAAAGTTTTCTCTCAACTTTTTTACATGAGATTTCATTTAATAACTTTCTTATTAATTTTTACATGTTAATTTTTTGCTAAGCATAAAAAAATTAGCAACCCATCAAAATTTCAACAAAATTTCATTAAAAAAGACTTATCAACTTTTTGTTAGTGCTTTCCCAATCATGGTCTCTAACCAATTAGGCCCTAGGAGTTTACACTCCAAATACAAGTATGAAACTTGAAACTTAAGAGCATGTTTAGTGGGAGAAAAATGGGATGGAAGAAAGAGAAGGAAAGGTGTTTTGTCAAAAAAAATAAAAAGATATTATTCATTTTACTTCAATTATTTTTTTTATTTTGGTTACATAATAAAAGATAACTATCTCTCAATTTTATTTTATCATATTCGCATACCATACGATTTAAATTTAAAATTTTTTATTTATAGTGAAATGTAATTAACATTAAATTATTTAGATTGTTGACTATTCTAACCAAATATTAAAATTTAAGATAAATAAAAAAAAATTTCCTCTCTAGGATAATAGGTTTGTCTCCACTCAAAAAAAAAAAAACCTATTTTTAAAGTTTAATTATATTTTTTACATTTTAAGAAGAAACGTATTTTTTTTCCTTAATTTATCCACATCATTGTCCTTGGCATTAATTATTTGTTTTATCAAAAAAATCTCTTTTTATCTTTATCTCTTTTTATCTTTATTTCTTATTCATCTCTTTTTATCTTTATCTCTTATTTTAAGTAAAAGCATAAATTATCTTTAAATATTTGACTTTAAAAAATAAGAATGACTATTTATACTACATATTACTCTGAAAAAAAGAAATTTAAAAAATGAGAAATTTAAGAAAAATTTTACTTTTTGAAGGTATTCAATTTTTATCAAATCAAAAGTCATGCCGCCCATAATGTGTAATCATTAATAGATTTGGAAAATGTCTACGTTGACGTAATTTAGTGACTACAGTAAATCTCAAATTACTTTTGTTTTTTGTGAACATCTTCGTACTAAGGTAGAGCAATTCATTGTTTTTCTTTCTTAACATACAAGCCTTTCGGATGTACGCCAACCATTTAGGTCCTGAATACACACAGATAAGGTTTGAGGACCGGTAATCTGGAAAAAATACAATCTCATTTGCCCATAGCACTCGTCAACGAAATCTACGACGGAGTCTGGCGACCAGGTAAGACACGCGGAAAATAAGTGGTAAATGGCGCGCCACGAGCGCAGCCCTGGCGGCTGGGGTCCACAATGATAGATCTGGCCGACACTTCCGGCATCTTTACCCGACAGCTTCCAAGGAACAACCAATGGCAGCAGACCGCAGTGTCCATGTAAGCATCAGCAGGTGTCGTGTCAGCCTCAGCAATTTTTTTTAAATAAAAAAGAAATTATTTTTAGATAACGGACGAAAAGTCGAAGACGGTTAAGAGGGGATTGCATCGTATTCTCGTAGTTTCGGTTTCGTATCAAAACACGGTTGAGAAAGTCAAAGCTTGAGAGGAGATGAAATGTCAAGAATGCCCTTAAGGGTTTGTTCGGTTTTGGTAAAACCTCAAGTTTTTTTTTTTTTTTTTTATCAAATCTAAAAGTGTCTTTGGTAAATTTTTAAGAAGTATATATTTTTAAAATATTATTTTTAATAAATTAA